ATCTAAAAGGTTCCATAAGATTGTGTGGTGGTTAGGAGCCTGTGCCTGTTGATTAATATGTGTGCCTGTGTTGGTCAGCAACATTAAATTCAAGCCGGGTTCGATGCTAAATTCTGATTGATTAAAGGAGTATCCACAGCGTTAAAATTCCTATTCCCAGCAACAACTAATACCACTATACAATATTAAATTCCCTTTTCTCTCCATTTTTGTAATTAAATTGCAATGGTAACCACAAATGTCTTATTTTCAAAATGGCTGCGTAATGTTCATTTTGCCCTGTAGATAGAGCGACACTCTTATACCAATAGTGTATAACAACTATCCTGACCAAGAGATCAGAGATCTTCGTGTCTATCTACGGAGTTTATATATCGTGATAATGTGTTGACTTTTAAAATTCCAGTGTATGAGCTAGAGGTTAGTGCCCTACTATATAGTCGCGACACATGTACTTTGTTGGATGCACAGGATGAGGACCTGCAGACATACGGACAATTCTCTACCCCAACGAAAGTACTCAGGATATTATTTTTAGATGTATGATTTCATGTTCATATGTCTTTTGGATCTATCGTTTCCGAATATCCTTCATATGTGCATACGGTTATTGAGTGGGAATCTCAATAGTTTATAAATTGTGTCCCACGAACAAATCCCTATCCCAGGTGATCATTGGCATTCGCTGGGTGTATGTCTGATTTAGTCTCTTTATGTCTTTCTACACTTTCAGATTTATAATCCATTGGTATCATTCTCCAGTACATATGTAAAGACCCTAGAGTGTAATTCAAAATCCTGTTAAATATGTTGCAGCCCTCTCATTAATGATGTCAAACTCCAACTTTTAGATTTTTGCCTACAATACTTAACAAACTAATTGACTCTTAAAAATATAACAAATCCCGCGGGTCCCAACACAAAAGGTTCTATCAAAATTTTGAAACAAAATAGTCTATATACACACCACCCCGATAATATCCAAAAATATTAAATCTGTATCTCCTCAGGAGACAGATTACATTATTAAAGGACCGTCACCCCCCCTCTATGTTTCAAAAATTGCGGAAGGTAATACTCCATTGTATTATATAAATCATTTTGTGTACAATAATATTTCACTTTATTAATCTCCTTAAATGTACGTTAGAATTGGCAAGAAACGTATTTAGAGCCTGGGATTTATCGTCCTCAAAGTATATAAGAAATGACATTCTATGTCAAAGCAATTTTCAATACTTGTGAAAATGTCGATGATAAATCATTAGGGCTTATAACCAGCAAATAGGTGTTGACAGATACTTTCCCTTTTCTATATCGACCCTCTTTGGCTTGTATAAACAATGATCCATTTTCCCTGTTCTACATCAACGCTTATTATTTTGTACAGAAAATAACGCACTTCCCTTTTCCACACCAGCCTTAATTAGCCTGCATAAAATTGGCACACTTTTCCTTTTTCACATCAACTGTAAGTAGTATTACGAATATGTAATTTAATTACTTGTTTGTTAGTTTTATATTCATTTCTTTTGTTTCATTACATTTTATTGTAATAATTTTTTCACAGGATTTAATATTCTTGAAAAAATATTCAGTCTAATTGAACGCAAAAGGTATTACACTGTTATTATTTTTAGCTCACTTTGGTTCATAGCTATTGTAAACATCTGGTGAATACAATTGACTATTACCTATGTCATTTTCGGCCTTCATGTTTGTTGAGTTGTAAACAAACATTTCTTTTCTTTATTTCCTGTTTGAAAATTTGATTCTTATATAGGGCTATTCTAGCATACGTGACAAATAACATTTTTTATTGCGTGGTTTGATGATTAAGTGATCATGTGACTCATCACAAGTGTCGAATTGACATTTTTAGTTGGGTTTAATACTTGTGTTTTAGTAAAATATAGACAGCCGTATTCTTACATATCAGAGCTCAAGGTGTTTTGGATAGCTGATGCCAACTTATTGTAAAGTTCATATATTTTGTTAGAATTAAATAATTCATTCTCTATAAAACTACACAAGTGCTTCATATTTATAAAATATTTGGGAGAAAAATATTCAGTGGAAATTTATTCTGAAATTCTAAACAGAACATTATAAATTGTGTCTGAACGAGGAATGGTTGCCGTTAGTACAACTACCTATTTTGACGTCATCGCCTTTCATATTGGAACTTCATCGAGATTCGATCCTGGATTTAATTAGAAATGTTTAATAATAGGGCTTATATTTTTAAATTCTAGGATTAATTTTGGATTATGTTCGCAAACCGTAAGTTCTATGTTATAATTTCACTATGCTTTTTGGATAAATAAATTATTTTTGTTAAAATTTACAAAGCTTGTTGACTACACTCGTTTCTTTTGTTACATTTGTACTAGCTTACACGTACCAGTAGCTTGTAGAAAATGGTAACACTGTCTCGTTTCTAAAAACAAACCCATTTCAATTTGAAGAAAAAGGTGAACTTTCTCTTTTTCACATCAACTCTTATTAGTTTGTAAATATAATGGTGCACAATTCCCATTGTTTACATGTCTGTATAAACAGAAACATGTATAATAGAAATCAATATGTGCAAAAGGATGTTCGTGACCAAACGGTTACGGCTATATTGTGATTTTACAATATTTCATGTTGGTTACATCTTGCAAATAGGCTGCAAAGGTGAGATTTTAGCTGCTATCGTACGCAAAATCCAACAGGTATAAACAGCATTTTAAACAAATACATACAGAAGGAAAGCGAAACTTATGACGTTGTAGCCCGCCAAAACCAAGAAGACAAAACCCTTCATAAAGGTGACGGTAGCAGCATAAATGGCTCCTGTAGATACGTTGCTCACAAGGTTACATACCGTCTCTACGGCAGCTAGACTGGCAAATACTGCACCTTCATATGAAAAGACACATCGATAATCAGACATAAATACATATATCAGTTCTGTTTTGTAATAACACTTCTCCGAAAACAACCTGGAATTTTTTTATATTTGGAAAATTAGAAAAGGTAATATTAACCTGACACAAAAGCGAATGTATCTCCAATTCATGGTACATAGCAAGAAAACAAATTTGACGTTCAATATATTATACAAAACATTGACAAACTCGCATATCTAAAATCTTGAGATGAAAGGTCACAATACACGTATGTTACGGTAATCACTTTCCTACAACTCCAAATACGCACACACTCTGCACAGATGAATGGTATGAAATCAAAGATAACTATACTGAATATAATTTGTAACGATAATAATGGTGATATAATAATTGGATCGGAAGAGATGATAATATATAATGTTTTTCTTGACATACGATTTAATTCTTTGCATAAAACATTGTTTACGGAATTTATTAAATGTTGGGTTTGCCATACTCGTGCAATCAAGGTAACTGTGGTCGAAAATATTCTTGTACCACTCATAGTATTTGCCAAAAATGTTTACCACCTGAGTACAGCATCCTGAAGATATGATGCGAGAGCTGACACTCATGATTCCCTAGTACTAGACATCACTTTAAAGTGCCACACTGTAGAAATCGTAGTCATAAGACTCGAAATGGTTAAATCTACATTTAAAAAAAAATCACACATATATATATATAGACATCCACGTTTATCTTTCTTTTTGTGTCCCCCTTGCCAAACAAGAGGTCGCGAATTTGAAACTAACGGCTTCCCAAAATTTTTTGTTAAACAGTTTTTAGAATTATTTTTTAATTTTTGTGTTGAAACTTTCTTCTATACTCGTACATCTCAATTTTTCATGTTTTTACCTTTTGTTTTTTTATCTAAACTTTTATGATTCTTGGCTGCCAAACAAAAGGTCGCGAGTTCGAAACTCGCGGCATCTTAGTTTTAAATTTTTTGTTTTTTTTTTCTTTATTTTCGCATTCAAACTTTCTTCTCCACTCGGGCATCCCAATTGTTTTTTTTTTAAGTTTTGCTTTGCTTTTATGTTTTTAGAACTATATGGTCTTAAACAAAATAATACAAAAGAATAAAAACTAACAAGTTTTGTAGAATTCAATAAATAAGTTATTTCCATGAAATATACATAACAACGTTCAAACTTTCTTGTATCACTCCCGTATGTCAAACAAGAGGTCGCGAATTCAAAACTCGCGGTATCCCAACTTTAATTTTTTTTTACCTTTTATTTTCATCTTGAAACTTTCTTTTAATCTCGCGCATACCAATTTTTTTTAATTAGTTATTTTTATGCTGAAATTTTCTTAACTTTCTTGTATGACTGCCATAGACCAAACAGGAGATGGTGAAGTTTGAAACTCGCGGCATCCCCAGTTTTTTGAAAATTTTGTTTTACATTTTTTATTTATAAGTTTGTATGTTGAATCTTTCTTTAGAAATAGCGCATACCATTAAAAAAAACTGTATGATAAAACTTTCATGACCCTCGTTTGCCAAACAAATTTATTACACTTCTTTATTATTTGAATTTTGAATTTTAAACTCCAGCGTCCCATTTTCTAAAATTTGTCTGCAATACAACTGCTGACACGGCTTGATGAATTTCAAGGGATCTCGAAGATAACATGATTGGTATAACTACCGCTACCATTATAAAGTCACAGAGAGAGAGAGAGAGAGAGAGAGAGAGAGAGAGTGTGTGTGTGTGTGTGTGTGTGTGTGTGTGTGTGTGTGTGTGTGTGTGTGTGTGTGTGTGTGTCTAAAAGTGAAAGTAGCTATGTAGCATCAAAGGATAACTTCAATATATAACCTGTGAGCAAGCTGTATACCCTATCAGACTCAATAATTTAAACTCAGAAGTCCCAACAAAGAAATTATTGAAGGTTGCTCGGGTGGAGACAGCGATTGTTTGGAAACTTCCGGCTCAAGATTATGTGCAAGAATAAAACGACGAATTTGAAACAAAATAATGGAAAGCGACCACATTTCACCTCTCTGGAGCAGAGCACATTACAAACTGTTATTCGTGAATTAGCTACCAAAGCTAGACCGCTTCGATGGTCTAGTGGTTAGAGCGTCTGCCTCGGATTCAGGAGATCGTGGGTTCTATCCCCGGTCGAGTCAATACCAAAGACTTACAAAAATGGTACTAACAGCTGCCTCGCTTGGAGTTCAGCATTAAGAAGTTAGTGTTAGAAAGACGTTGGGATCTTTTGTCTGAAGAACTTGATTTTGTCAGACAGAACATACATCCACATGTATCAATACCAAAACACTATCATAATATTAACGGATTTCTCAGATATTATACAAATGATTCCACTTTACAGTGTTGTACTCTGTACATTGTAAAATGTGATAATCCCAGAATTTCCTCAATGATTATTCTGGTTATTTTTAAAAAGTCCTCTTATATCTTAGGTATTATTAACATAACTTTTAATTTCCTATATTTTAGTGCATAATTGCTGGAAGTAATTTGGGATATATTGCATACAACTTTGCTTTACTTTATCTGTGCATCTCTCAAAAGACTGCTAAATCCATATGGTAAAGTACACATAGTAGGAATTCATAAGCTAAATTTAAAGAAACAGACCTCAGCAAAATACAACCATAAGAACAAGCCGATAACTTTATTTACTTATTTATTTATTTATTTATTTATTTGTAAATATTTTACAATTCAGTTATTTCACTTTCAAATGTGTGTTTTGTTTGGTCATTTTCCCTGTTTTAACAATTGCTAAAGTTAGTGGACTTTGGACTAGTTTCAGCGCATTTCTCTATGAAAACAGACACTTTGATCAGCTGAGGTATGGTACCATTCCCTCCATTGTGCTCGTTGCAAATGCACACAACATTTTCCCGTTTCGGTTTCAGTACTACGTAACCAATGCGAAACAAGTGACAACGGATTTAATAATGGGAGTTAACGTTTGTATTGTACCATTTGTTGGGGAAAATTTGTGAATCAAGCTTGTCACAACCAACACAGAATGAAAGAGTCAAGTATTTTGACACTCTGTTAAACTAGACGATTGTCTGACCTTGACGATTGTGTACTCGTGTAACAGTTTACAACCTGATGGGTAACACTGCAGCTGTCACTTAGAGTGATTCCATATAGAGTGGATTCTGCGATGGATATTGTTGAAGAAGTGCTATCAGGGTTAAGTCCTTTTATACCCCATGATTTTCACCACTGAAAACGCAGATGTGGCCATGACAAATCCCTGTACCTGGCAGAACACGAGTCTGCGCGCACTTTTATAAAGATTTTGCGTGATAAACCCCATAGACACCTTCCTCTGAAAGCTCCGCCTCCGAAACCAAAGATTTCACCGTTACTCGACTTTTCCTGCCTAAATCAATTTTCTACTTCAGTTCAGTCTCCGCGCTAGCGACCCGGTTCTGAATCTGCGCCCGGAATTGTGGAAAGTTTTTCATTTCTGCCAATACGAACTCGAACTCCGCTATGATAATAATTTTATCTTCGATTGCTGTCGAGCAGATTTTTACTAATTGTGCTAATACTACTTTCCCCTGCCGCAAGAATTTCTGACAGTAATGTATTACGAATGCATTCGTAATTAAATTATTTTCCAATTGCCGCCGGCCACACGGGTTGAAATCTTTGGCATCAAATCCGACTGGTGTACCTCTGATAGCTGCCGTGGTCGAGATTCCCGCCACATCAAGACCAATGGCTGTTGCTGTGGCGAGTCCAAAAATTGAATCCGCGACGATAAACAAACGTTTGCATTTCGACAATCGATGTTTCGCTCAAATTATTTTCTCGCATCGATATTTTTGTGGGCCCATTACAGTTCTTCTATTAATAATGTTACCGCGAAAAACAATTGCTCAAGCGACATGCCTAATCCAGATGCACCACTGGCGGGTGCAACACCCACTTCAAAGTATTTTTCTCCACTGGTGCAACTGTCAATCAATTATAGAAAATATCTGCACGGGAAAATATATTTCCGGTGCTTGCTAGCAGGTTTTATGCTTTACCGAGAACTACTCTCCTATGCTCGTTCTCTCAATTTCGCAAGAGCAGTTACAAGGAAAATTTCGTCTTTGGTGTATATCAGTCTGGGTTTTTCATTTTAGGTCGTGTAGATGCTAGTGGTTCGATATAACTGATTTTTATCACGGCGGATTTGTTGGTGAATTCCACTTCGTTGTTGTAGAAACAATCCATGGTTATTTTCACGCCCGACGGAGCTATTTCACGTGTTAATGCAGTGGTTCCAAAGTGGTCTCGAGTAAGTAGGGTACGTTAGTCATCCCAATTATCGATTTATTTTGACCCTTGGCGTAATTATATCTGTTTGTATGCAAGAGTCTCTTAGCCCCGTTCTCGTCGACCAGTGGAACAAAATCATCATCCAATGGTGGCATGTTCTCCCAGCTAATCCAGCACCACTTATCGTCAAATGGCTCAAGACTCTCATTGTGTCTAGGTCCCTCACACCTATATGTAATGTCAATGTTTTAGACACAAACGCCAAAGATGGTCAAGGATTCTTTCGAATAGATTATTATTGCTTCAAACTGAGTCTCATCTCCGGCGTCTAATGATAATGAAACTGTACATATGTGACAAGGGAACAACATCAACTATTTGGCTATGCATTGCTGGAGAAATATGACGATATAGACAATTTGCCACAATTTTCTTGACATCCAACCAGACTCAAGTCATATTAAGATGAAAAAGAGGCGTTGATTTCTGACGATGAATGCAGACAGCAATCAACGATTTAACGAAGATGGAAGAAAATCACACAAAGTCTCATTTTTGAGACAATGGATCGTTTCCTCTTAAACATATGCTGATAAGAATTTGTTAAAAGGCGTGGACATGTTACTCAGAATGAATCTTATTATCAGGGCAGTCTTCCAATTAATGGTCAATTCTAACGATTTCAAAACTATGACTACTGTGCAAGACACTTTTTGAATGGATTTGGTACAACATGAGACCAAGGTAGGAGGCGCATTTCCACAATGTAAAATTGGGACAACTGCGTGTGGAAATTCAGTTTGCATAAACAGTCTGCAGAAATGAGAAGGTCATCTTGCTTGCAAAATTCTAACAACACCATTGCAGTCAGCAGTTTGAAAAAAGTGACGTTGGACTTCCAAAAGCTCACTCACGAAAAATGTACTCATGCAAATAAAATATCAAGAACAGCATTAAAACAAAAACAAATGGTAAAATTAAGAGCAAAACAACAAGGAGGAGAATCTTAACACGATGACAGTATTTAGGAACAAAAGAAAGCCATGGCCGATGATTTTCTAACAAGTTGTCAAGAGAATCACGCCAATGATAACATAACAATGTTACGGATGTCTGTCTAGTCTATCAATCCAATCATGTTCAACACGACAAATGTTTGACGATGAGTGAAGAAGAGTTAAAGTATTAACTTTCTTGTCCAAAATACGTCTGAACTTCATACCTACTCACATATATTGTACACGATGCATCAAAGACGAACTTCCTCATGTACAATACAAAGATGTTCGAGCCAACATCATCAATACATACGAGAGTCGTTGACCAGGAATACTCAAGATAGCTGTCTACCTCCTTAACTTCGAATATTTTGATTTGTCTCGATTACCACTGATGGAAAACTATACGACAGACTTTAGGAGAAGAAATGCCACTTCGGTCCATATTAATAATGTGAAATTATAAGGATTAGATTTGATAGTGTGTTTTCGCTATTTTATTTTATAAAAGTAAGAACTGGATGCCTTCTACCATATTTACTGACTTGTTTTCAACACCATTTTCCTAGAAACGTTAGAATTTTGGTTTCGAGATCATCACGGTTCTTTAATGAACAAGCTAGTTTATGTCTGTGATAAGAAGAAATCCTTATGAAACACTGTAATCGAGGTCTTATTAACCAAGGTTGTGAACCTTGTGGCTGTGTTTTTATAAAACTAATAAACTACTATAGTATACATACCCTTCCCACATAAGTGTATAAGAATGTGCTTGACTGAATAATGTATATGTTTGTGAGAACCATATGATCTTTAGTCATTACCCATTTTTGTTTGTAAATGAAGTGCTGCTTTGTTTGTATGAGCGATAGATTTACTAAATTTCTTGCCTTACACGCTGATTTGGAATTTAATTGTATATTCTGGTCTGCAAACAAACGTGTTATTTACTACCATAATATGCCCTATTTCCCAAGGTATTGGTTAATATTTGTTGGTGTTGTCTGTAAATGTATATATGTATATTTAAATGCCCATTGCGTCATATCCTATTAAAAGTCCCGTAATTGGTTACACAAGTCCATCAATTTATATTCCATTGTACATACATACATACATACATACATACATACATACATACATACATACATACATACATACATACATACATACATACATACATACATACATACATACATACATACATACATGCGTGCTAATGTATCAATAGTCTTGAATGTGCTAACATACCAATAGTCTTTAAAAATTCACAATAATCACAATTTGTTAGTCCAAATGTCAGTGAGCACATTGTAATTCTAATGAATAATTTAAATAAATAATTCACCCACATTTTTACAAATTTTATTGGATGATCTACCATAAAATGATGTTAATTATCCATTTCGGTGTTATAGTGGCCAGCGATATTAAATTTAAATTGGGCCTCATACTAACCCATGTTACATTTCCTAGCAGGTGCCATTGCAACCCACAGTGGTTAAGTTTCATAGGTTGCTATAGTGACATCAGTAATGTTAAATTCCCATAACCTCTATACCTTTCAAACATAATGTTAAATTTTGTATACATACAACAGCGCCCAGTGAGATTCCATGTTAATGCTTATAACTGCTCACATCCATATTATACAATCATGGGCACTTCAGCCCTATAATAAAATCAATAGTTACCCTGCTAACAGCCGTCCTGTTTTGTGTCATCAGGGAGCATTCCCTTTAATTCATTTAGACTGTTGCTTTTCTGTAAGTACAGTGTCGTCATATTGAGCGCACCTTTGCTATGCGTCTACGAGTGTGCGGTGTGGTTAAAATCTATGACGATTATTTTCGTCGATTAAACTGAATAAG